TTCATGTGTCTGTTGGTTTCCCATTTATCTTCTCTTGAGAAGTGTCTATTCACATCTTTTGTCCACTTTTTAATGGGGCTGTTTGTTTCTTTCTGCCTGTTTGAATTCCTTATAGATCCTGGATGTTAGACCTTTGTCAGATATACAGTGGGCAAATATTGTTTCCTATTCTGTGCGCTGTCTTTTTTCTCTCTTGATTTATTTTGCTTTTCAGAAGCTTTTCAGTTTAATGAGTTCCCACATTCATCTTATCTCTTATGGCATGGACATCAGGGGCTTTGATCAGTAATTGGTTGCCTACTCTGGTTTCTGTAAGGGTGTCTTCTGAATTTTACAAGATTCTTATAGTTTGAGGTTTTACATTTATGTCTTTGATTCATTTAGAGTTTATTTTTGTGTATGGTAATTGTCAAGGGCCGGGCCAGGTGTGGTGGTTCAAGCCTGTAATCCCAGCACTTTGGGAGGCTGAGGTGAGAGGATTGCCTCTGCCCAGGGGCTTGAGACCAGCTTGGGCAACTTGGCAAGACCTTGTCTCTACAGTAAATCAAAAAATTAATGGGGCATAGTAGCCGGCACCTGTAATTCCAGCTACTTGGAAGTCTGTTGCAGAAGGATTGCCTGAGCCGAGAAGGTTGAGGCTGTGTTGGCTGTGAGTTTGTCACTGCACTTCAGCCTGGGCAGCAGAATGGGAGACTCCAACCAAAAAAAAATTGCCAGGATACACCATATTCTGGGCCATGAAACAAATGTAAATTCATTTCAGGTGTTACTATCACACAAATTATAACTTCTCACTATCATGTATTAAAGCATAAATTAATAATTTAAAAATATATTTATAAATGTTATTGGAAAATTGAACAACATGCTTCTAAATTAAATACATGTCAAAAAAGATCACAAGAAAATTTGGGAAATATTTGGAATGGAATAAATGAAAACATAAAATACAAACTTGTGGGACAAGTCTCAAGTAGTTTTTTGACCTTAAAGTTATATTTATGAGATGTAGATTAATCAAAAATCTAAGTTTCCAGCTTAATTAACTAGAAAAGCGAGGAATTGCATTAAAATAAAAAGACTGAAAATGTAGATCAACATAAGAAATTAGTAGTTCCAGAAATTCACCCATCTTTTAATCTTTTGAAGAAATTTCAGTCTTTGCAACAAGCAGCTTTGGAAAAAATTGAACATTTTATGCAAAAGGGTATCTTGACCCTTATTTTGAATCAAATTAAAACATGAATTACAGACTTAGGTGTAAAACCTAAAGCTAAAAAGTATATCTTAAAAAATATTGGTAACCCATGAAAGGTAAGTTTTAGGTAGGATTCCAAATAAATATGTTTTGAAGATGAAATGGTTCTTCATCAAAACTAAGACAAATTGGTTTCTTAATATTAAAAAAGGTAAACCACATAAGAGAAAAAAATGTAAAATATATCTATGAAAGAACTGGACTTCATTACATGTAAACATATTCTCAATAATTTAAAAAAACTGAACACAATGTGGTTAAAGAATTGTATAGACATTTTAATAATGAAGAGATATGACTGCAAGACAAGGACACCAAAAAAATGGTGTTTGACAAATTATTCAAGAGGGAGATGTAGTTCATTCATGAGAAGTAAGAATACAATAACTTTTATAAATTATTCGAAAAATCTGGAACAGAAAAATTCAAATCCATGCATATAGAACCTACAAGGACAATATTTAATAAAATACACAGTACACTGAGTCCAGAAACATGTTTAAAAGAATAATATTAATTTTCAAGATGGGTTCATTTTGAGATGCAATAATTATTTCACTTTAGAACAAAGATGAAAAGAACAACAGACAAAATAAAAATATTTTATCCTTCAGTAAAATAAAAGGTTATAAGACAACAGACACAGATGTGACAACTTGGGAAGCAATGAAGAATATTAACGCATTTATGACAAAAGAAGTTAATGAAGAATGACACAGCCCTAGATACAGAAAAAAAATTCTTCAGATTCAGTACTGAGTACGGTTTCTTGATTCAAGCATTAAGCAAACAAAGAATAGAAGGCAAATTACTTGATGTGCTAAAGGAGTCTATAAAAAATGTAGAAATTAAAATTATAAAGGTCTTAAAATTCAAGAATGTGATAGGAATTTCTGTGGTCACTACTCCTCTTCAACATTGAATTGAAGCCTCCAGTCAGAACAACATAACAAACAACAACAACAACAACAAAATTCAAATGGGGAAAAACTATTCAAATGAATAGATAATAAATGAATATTTACATAAAAATTCAACAAATATATTGAAGAAATAGAATTACACACAAAAAGATAATGCATATAAAAATAACATTAAGTTATTGGTTGTGCTGCTGTATGCCGTATACAAATTAAAAGTTCTGCTGAAAATGACATCATTCTATAAAGCTAATGTTATATAACTCTCAGGTTTAACTCTAAGAATACATGTCTGAGTACACACAAAGGTCTTCAGTCTTGAGAATACACTGGAGCACAAGACCAGCCAGTTCAAGTTCACTGGTCACACACTCAAGAATGAGCCTAGCTTCTTCCGTGCTGCACTCCCTGTGGCAGTGGCTCTGTTGACAGTCCCCCTGGCCTAGTCACTCTGCTGTATTGCCTCTCTGCATCACTTTTATACTGCGCTTTCCTTCTTTCTTCATCCACGTAAACTATCTGAAGAAGAATTAGATGGCATTTATGATTATCTATTAAAGGGAGTGTGCCTACTGATTAAAGGTTTCTAAGAGATAAGAATAATAATGATCACTAACACTTAAAATATTCCTTTTTTTTTTTTGGTCACAGCAGCTTTTATTGTTCCCTAAAAAGTCACTTTTCCTGTAAAGACAGTCATTTAGATGAGACACACACCAGATTTATCCAAAGTGCCAAAACGCATACAATTCTCATGACTACAAGTGAGAACTATAAGGCCCCAAAGAACGCATCCACTTCAATACTCAGGGTCATGACTTCCTGCAGAGTCCTTGGTTTCTGTGACAGGGGAAGGATTTTGCTAACAAACAGTTGAATTAAAATCTAGGCAGATGGGATCTCAATCTTCATCGTCAGATTTAACATGATGCGAAGATTTTGTATTCAAGTCTAATTATGCCCTCACCATCACTATGTCAAAACCACCAAGCCCGACGTTGGTGTTCTCCGGGAACCACATGCCGTGGACTTCAGGCCGATCACAGCGTCGTCTCTTTTGTCCTGATGGGCATAAAAAGTGTCACAAATGAGCGTCCACATGACTCCAGAAAATAAAGAGCCAGGCAAACAGATGACTCACAGGAACCCTTGAGGGCAGACCAGCCAAGTAACGCGCCCTCCTTAAAAGTCAACCCCAGGACTAACGGTGGCCACTATATCCTTCTTTTCATTCGTGGGTAGGTGACGACAAGTAGTAAGGATGCTGTTCTCGGGGCTAGACTGGTGCAATTCAGACTCAGCAGAACACCCGTTGCCAAGGTCATCTTCCTCCGAAGGCAACAAAGGATGGAAAAGCTGACTTGTCTCCAGCGGCTCTTGGGCTATTTGCTGTTCTTGAGTTCCTTTCATCGTAGTCCCGGTCCCAAGGTCATTAAAAGTACAGCCTGCCAAACGCATCAGAATGGCTCCAGTGCCAAAGAGGGACAGCATGGACCAATTCGGGAAACAAACTTGTTCGGCTGCCAAACCGGTGCTCCAGGTGAACCGCAGGTAAGCAGCCAGGTTCGGAGAGGCTTGTCCAGCCGCGGAAGGCACAGGTAGGGCCGCGGGCGCGGGGCGCGGAGGCCACCACAACTGCTGCCTACAGGCTGAGCGGGCGTCGGTGCGGCCCAGAGCAGGCGGGAGTCTGCGGGTCCACCCCACAGGGCGCCAGGGATAGGGTCGGAGCTCCGACCCCCAACCCACCCCAACTGCGCAGCCGGCAGGAACCGAGCCAGCTACTTGACCCTGCGCCCACCGTGGCGCCGCCAGGGCGGACCCATTTGATAAATACTTACTAGGATCCAGCTTCTTTTTAGATCACCTATGTAAACCTAGTAACAACTATATAAACTTAGTGGCAACTACATAACTAGTTTACCAAGATGTGAGGAGAAAAAAAATCATTATTATAACACAGGAATGTGCCCCACTTTCACTGCTTGTGCAGTCATTCATTCTTGTCACATATACTGAAAAAAACCATTCCAAACATACCTGAGATATTTTCCTACACTCATAATAAAAATGTCATTGCCCATGTATTCTAACACTTCTTACGTGAATACCATAGACTTTTCTGCTAATGTCTTTACTTTCAATAATTTAAAAACTTCCATTTTCCTAAGACTAAATTAATAGGCTTCAATGCAATCCTACATCCACCTTGCTATGCTTCTCTTTTCAACTTAATCTCCTACTTATCCACAATGTAGATTCATAGAGCCATAGACGCTAAAGATTCCAAAACAGTGGCTAAGAATGTGGCCAAATTCCCTTAAAATTTGTTCTTTCATATTTTCACTGACTGATCTTGAACAGCTCCCCCGTTGGTGTTTGGTCAGATTTCTATAAAATAGCAATAAGGAGAGTGTTTGGACAAAAGGGCTTCCCAAAAATTAATTCACACGTTTATCACCTGAGAGACTTGCTCAGATGCTAAACTCCTTAACTGGGTGTGGCCCAGGGCAGTAGGGGATCTGCTGGTCCTCCAGAATCCAGTCAACTGCATTTCAAACAATCTCCAGAAGACACTCGATAGAAGTCACTGGAGCCAACTCCCCTAGCGCAGTGCCAGGCGGGCGAGGCGCGGGTCGACCCCGCCCCCCAGGCGGGCCCCGCCCCTCACGGCCCCAAGTCGCGCTCCCTGTGACTTGGCGGCGTGCGCATGCGCGGCGGGTGAGTCCTCTTTCCCAACGGCGGGGCCCGGCCGCCCACTGGGCGGGGAGGCGGAGGATGGAGTGGGCTGATCGGCCATTACCGTCTGTCTCGCCAGTAGCCCTTTGGCGGCCACGACGATGGACCAGGCGCCGGTGGGCCGTGTGCAAGGAGAAGCAGTCGCAGCCTCGGGAGCCGCTGCCACCGGCGCTCAGGGAGTCGGGGCGACAGATGAATAATGACAGAGGCTTTGAAAATGTAGAACTGGAAGTCATAGAAAAAAAGAAGAAAGTCCTAAGGAGAGTCATCCACTTTGTTAGTGGTGAAACAATGGAAGAATACAGCACAGATGAAGATGAAGTTGATGGCCTGGAGAAGAAAAATGTTTTGCCTATTGTTGATCCGACAAAACTTACCTGCGGCCCCTACTTGTGGTTTTATATGCTTCGTGCTGCTATATCAACCATCTCAGTGTGTGACTTTCTTGGAGAGAAGATTGCATCTATTTTGGGCCTCAGCACCCCAAAGTACCAGTATGCCATTGATGAGTACTATCAGATGGAGAAGGAGGAAGAAGAAGAAGAAGAAAACAGGATGTCTGAAGAAGCAGAAAGACAATACCAGCAGAATAAACTGCAGACTGATTCCATTGTTCATACAGATCAACCAGAAACAGTAGTATCCAGTTCATTTGTGAATGTCAATTTTGAAATGGAGGGAGACAGTGAAGTAATTATTGAAAGCAAACAAAATTCAGTTTCTATCCCACCATAAAATGAGATGACTATCAGACTTCAAACCCATACCAGGAACTTTCACATTCTGTACTCAGTGGGACTTAATACAGTTATTTATATTTTAAATTGTTTTCTGAAAAGGGAAAGCATTTCTTCATACTTAGGCTATATCTAGCAAAAGCCAGATCTCAGTTGGGTCCAGTGACTCAAGCCTGTAATTTCAGCACTTTGGGAACCCAAGGCAGGAGGATCACTTGAGGCTAGGAGTCTGAGACCAGCTTGGGCAACTTAGCAAAACCCCATCTCTACAAAAACAAAACTAAGAAACAAAATTCAAACCTAACTTGGATACTAGTACTGTTTCTCTGTGTGCCAAATTAGTGCTTTGACCTTTGACTTTAGAATAATCTTTTTTAAAAAATTAAGGACATCCTAGAGTCTTAATTGCCAATTACAAAGAGTTAAATTATCAAGCTTGCCTGTTATCTGTGCATTTGTTTAAAAAAATAGGATAAGACTAATTAGAACTGATAATCCCACAGTCTCAAATTAAAATGAGGATTTTTTTCTCTTAGATTTTCTCATGTTATACCTTGCTTTTATATATCTAACCATTAATTCACACAAAGGATGGTTTGCTGTATAATAAAAGGAGCAAGGCAGAAGCACTTTGAATTTTCTTTCATTGAGAATAACTATTTTATGGAAACATTTGAGTTTATAACACCAAATGTTAAGATAGATGTCCATTTTTAAATGCAAGTTATTTAGTCTTGTATTTTTTTAGTTACTCAACTAGCTTTGAACGTAATATTAAAGATGTCAGTTATGCAATGAATTTATTAATGTATTGTGCACAAGTGTACATGGCCTCCTGGTTATGACACTCATTTAGCCCTTAATGCTATAGATGAAGTAGTTTATGGGGGAGAAGAAACAGAAGAGATACATATTTAACACCATCAGGGGCTGTTAGATATTGTACAGGGTGCAGTGGTATCCTAATGAAGTTACCTAGCATTCACCATTTTAAAGTAGCAACAGTAAGATGGACAGTTTACTTGAACTAGGTTGGCCATTCTTCTACCTACTGTGTTATTTGCAAACCTTACAAAGGTATATAATATAAAGCTGATTTTGAAAATATTCCTAAATGTGTGTACAGAACCTTAAGATGTGCCTCTATCACTTTGATTTATATAAACATAAGTAAGGAAGAATGTGTGTAGTGTTTTAGAAATGTTGATCTTAAGAGTCTTTTCATAAACTTCAAAAGAGCTTTTAGAAATTAATAGTTAATAGCCTAAGTTCAACTGAAAGTTGAAGAATTTAGGAAGGATAATTAAACTTTTCATTAGGAGTCTTCAGTTACATGGATTCATTATGGTGTTTCATAGTAAGTGATGGTCATCTTTTTATTCATGGTATAAACACTATAAACTTTAATGCTTAAAGGGTCAGTCTTCAGATTCAATAAATTATAATTTACCAGTAGCTCTAGAACATGTTAACCTGACCTCTTCTAATTTGTTTTTAACTTCATTTGAGATAGTACCTCTCAGATATTTATCAAGTGAAGGTAGGTGTTTCTAAAGGTAACCTTCTGAATCTTCTATCCTAGAGGCACGAGTATCTAAAAGAATTTACCTAGAAACTTTTTCTGATTGTAGTAGAAGGAATATAGTGACTTATGAAGGTTCTATGTTTCTTGAATTTTATTTCTGCTACTTGTCCAATAATGGCCAGTTTATAATGTTTATAAATATAGTTATTCACTGTGCCTTACATTTTTATAATTTTGTTTATGCAAACTGTAAAATTTCCCATAAATGCATTAAATGGTTTGTCTTAAAAAAAAAAAAAGGAGTCACTGATTAGTGTCACTCTTTGTTTGTACCAAGGGGTCTGCACCATGGGGTTATTGTGAAGATAAAATAAATCCATATATGAAAAAAATGATTAATTCAGTGAGTTTCACATAAAAAGCAATCATAAATTATCCTTAGGATTATGAGAGAAATTACAATTATGTGAACTAGTGAATTTTTTTCCAGATGATGTGTGTGAACAAGAGAGTTGAAATAACTTGTACAGCATCACAGAAAAGAACCCCAGAGAAGTCTGGTTATCCAGTACTTCTTTGGTCATTATTTTCTACCAACTTCTATGACTATCCCATTTCCATCATCAAGAATATATTCTTTATGCTAGACTAGGTTGATATCTTCATCAAACTCATACATTGTTACCGTCCCTGGGAAATCTGCCACAATTGCCCCCAAAATCTGTTGTCCCCCTGCTCTTCTGAATGCTATATGCTTTCTCTTCTTTGCCAATCTTTTGGTACTTCTTATATAAATGTTTGCTGAAAATGTTTTTAAAAATCCCAACTAAGTTAAATGAATGCATGGACTGTTTTCTTTGTTCCTGTGTGAATCTTTAATAATTTCTCCATAATCGATAAGTAAAGATTGATTGACCAATAATTACTCATACTCAGAATGTCAATAACTCCATAATATTAGCTATGTAATTTGTCCAGGAAAAGATGAACATCTATATGTCCTTTTATAACCTTTAAAAATAGTGTAATCTTAATTTCCTGCATGGATTCCTTAAGAAAAAAGAGGAGACATAGGTTTTATAATTGTAAAACTTAAGATTGATTATGCAGGTCCGTCATGTGACTATACATGGTGGTCACTTTAATTTTCTTAATAGCCTAACTTATGAAATAAAGGTGTTAAATGTGCCATCTTGCCTCTTATGGCTCGAGGTGTATTAGATCTCTGCCTAGTTCCAGAAGAAGTCACACATTTCGATGCTGGGTAATCTAGATTGAATATGGGATATACTCGGTGTTATCAGGAAAGAAATGTGCTGATTCCACCAGTAATCATGAAACAATGAATTGTAAGACTGCCAGTTGCTGCTGCTGGTGAACTAAATTTTCTAAAGTATTATAAAGAAAACTGATGGGAGAGAAAGACTGAGACAGTGAGAGAGAGAGAGAGAGAGAGAGAGAGAGAGATGAGAGATGAGAAATTTTCTAACTCATCTGAAGCTCTAGATTCAACTTCGATAAACTCATTGTAGCTGAATTTCATAGTTCAGTGAAAAGTTTTCCTCTCTTGACTTAATCTGTTCAAACTGCAACACAGAAAGACCTGACCAGTAAAATCTTTTAGTCAGCAACTAGTATTCAATAATTTTAATCTTTTTAATTTTTCTGTATTTTGCTTTTTCACAAGTTGTTTTGATGTTCAGATTTAAATATCCTTACAAAATAAAGGAGTTATGCAGATACTTTGAAAACCAAGATGCAAAATAACTAAACACATTTTCTTAGACATGCAGAGCAACATAACCCACATGACTAAAATGACTGGTGCTTTGTCAAAGACATACCTAACCCCTCAGTAAAAAAAAAATATATTAATAATGATGAGATTGTGTGTGAACAGAATTTACATCCTATTTGTGTAACACATGCCAGTTTTTTCATTTTATATAAAATATAAAGAAAAGTGTTTGAAAACTATTATAACCGAGGCATTGCACAGATTATCAATATTATAAAAGCATAAACACAATCCAATTGTTTTTAGAAACTTGCATGGGTGAGACAGTGGAGTCCAAGGAAGTACAATGAACTCGGGAGAAATTTAGCACAAACATTATTTAGACCTTATATGAATTCTCTGACAACAAAAAAAGAATGAGATAGACTACAATTAAAAAGGTTGAATGTATTGTACAGACAGCAACAACATACAAGAGAATTTAGATTATTGTCAAAATAGACACAAATATTTGTCCTTTTCAAGAATTATCAGAGATAGGTGATAAAAATAAGGATTTGCTGAACAGCAATTCTGAAGAACTAATGTATTTGTGGCTATTTTATGTGAAATATTTTTTTTTTTGAAAACTTGTCCTGGTGTTATATGACAACTTTGTATGTTCCTGAGTATTTGTATCATTTAATAGATGACTGCAACTTGATGAAACTCTACAATGGCTAGTGGTTTTGTAACTCTAATTCAAGCACAAATAATTTGAAAAGTTTCTGGAAGTATAAATGTGACTAAAGTTGAAACCATTATTGAAACTTGTATTTATATACATTTATGTTTCCAACAGTCTGATAGGGAATTTCCAAAAAAATTGTATTAACAAATTATAGAATCTTATTAAAATGACCCTAGAAATCATCTGGTCCACATTATTACTATACAGACAAGGCACTGAAACCTAAAGGGGTGTCAAGATGTCCTGATGATTTTAAGAATTAGTAGAAAAATTGGAAAGAAAAAGTGAGTGTGTTGTTTCCTGGGCCACAGTGAAAACTGTTTTTGCTGCACCCAGTTTCTCTCTATTATGAGCAGAACTGTCTCATCTCAAAAGAAATGTTCAAATACTAACTCCCAATTTCTATAAATTAACTTTTTTTAGAAATCGGGTCTTTTCAAATATAATGAGGTTAAGATGAGGTCATACTGAAATACTACAATGGACCCAAATTCAGTGACTGGTGTCCTTAGGAGAGGAAGATTTGGGTGTACAGAAAAGTACCAAGGAGAGAAAATGTGAAAGCACAGGCAGACATATAGGGAGAAGGCCATGAGAAGACAGAGGCAGAGATTGGAGTGATACGACTACAACCAAGGAACAACAAGCATTTCTGGAAAACCCGGAAGCCAGGAGACAGACAAGGAGCAGATTCTCCCTCAGAGCCTTTATAAAAAAGGCCAAAGTAAGGAAATCTCCCTTCACACACAATGTTATGATTTTTGCTTTTTACATTCATTTTTTTTTAACTTAAGAGGAAACAATGATCCAGCATATATTTGCCCAATGACTGCCCATTTCTATTGCTCTTCCTTTATTGCTAACATACCACGTTCTCCTCTGGAATAATTTGTTTACAGCCTGGCAAACTTTCTGGTTTAGTCTTCCACTACAGTATTGCCCATTTATCTAAGACAATACATTCCAAGACCCTCAGCAAATGCTTGAACCCTCAGGTAGTACTAAACCCTCTATATTTCCTTGCAGTTTG